CGAATCGGTAATCGAATCGAAAGCTTGTGAATGAGAATCGAATCGTGAAATTTGTGTCAAAACCCAGCCCTAGGAGTTATTGTCAACATTAAAGCAAAATTGACACCTCTTTTTTTGTCTTATTGTGCAATGTTTAATTAAAGGTCATATTCTTCCAAAAAAAAAACATTTGTCTTTCTAATTTTTTATCAAAGCTGTCTGACCTCGAAAATGACTTCTGGTAATCTGCTGGTGCTCTAAACATGCATCATATTGAAGTCTAGTCATTAAAATGTTAAAAAATGGGTCTCAAACAGACATTTGCTGGTTTTTGGTAATACAGTATACTATGGTAATGAACATGGACAGTATTGTTATTAGAGGTCGACCGATGTATCGGTTTTGCCATTACACCAAATACACAAAATAATGTTCTTTTTAGCAGCATCATATGACCCCTTTAATAAAGCACTATTTTAGTTTTTGTTCAGTATCAATTTTAAAACTATCGGTTAATTAATCGGTATCGGCCAGTGTGGTCCAACCTAGCTATCGGTATCGGCAAAATCCACTATCGGTCGACCTCTAATTGTTATCACAGGCACCTAAAAAAAAAAGGTGAATAATTCTAGTTATATTTTCTAATTTTTGCACATTAGGGTTTTTTTTCTCCATCAACTGGTTAAAACGCTGGTTGTCGTGGTGCACAATTTTCTGTTTCTGACACATGCCTATCATGGAGAAGAAAGGAAGTCAAACAGTATTTGCATGTTCTTTATTCTCAATGGTGCTTATTAAACAACACCTAATACATAAAGACTTAATATTTAATTCTAAACATTTGTTTACACACATTTTCACATTTTAATCTGGACTAAAACATATCAGTCCAAAAAAAAGATATCTAGATATTGGTTTAAAATGTTCTGGTTCTTTGTTATTGTTCTTCACAGTTGCGGTCTTTTGCACTTTAATCTGTAAACATTTGTTTTATTTTACAATTTTATTGTGTTTTATCTTATTGTACTGAAACATTCAGTTCTTTTTGTCATTTGAAAAAAAATAAAAGTTATTATAGGCCTACTTGTTTTTAAGAGGACACCAGTTTTTAACCTGTTTTTGTAATGCAATTCATTACCATGATAATACAGTATACACATTTCAGCAATGATTGTTTCAAAACAACATCAAGACCTTCAGTTCCATTCATTTCCAATCTAAATCTAATCATCTTCAGAGTGCTGACCGCAAACGGCAGACTGAAAGTCAAGTGTGAACAGTGTTCATGCAAATTGGTGTCTGATGAATGACAAACAAAAACAAATGAGTTAAATCACGTGATTGTGTTTTCATGATCAATCGTTGCCAGGTACTCATGTCCTTCTCTAGTTTTGGCAACAGTGGCCAATAAAGAGAGAATATTACAGAATATTACTTTTGGGACATGCTGCAATGCTCTTTGGTGATTGTACAGACGATGTCATGCTGCAAAACTTAAAAACATCAAGAATCATGAAGAGACTACAAAGCAAAGCCAACTGAGATGTCAAATAACACCCAGCAGAACTGTCCGGACTCTCCTGTGGCACTCTATTCATGGCCTACAGTGCTAACCAGTGCCATTACACACAGTTACGGTCATGGTGACCCAGCAAGATTCTCCTGGCACTGAAAGAACAAGCAATCAGGTTGATTTCTGCCTCAAAAAGCAACAAAGCCCAAAGAAAGAGACTAGCTAACAGGATTCTGTTACTCTGACAAAACCTGGAAAAAAAAGAAATGATCTCCCTTAGAGCTACATCCAAAACCGTTCTGATCAGCCTAAGAGATGCTAACAGAACCTCCACAATGACAAGAAAACTGTGAGGTCAAGTGGTGCAACTCTCAAGTAAAAAGTATTGTCATTTTTGCTTGAACCACAAATACATGCAAGCTTACACATCTTGAGAGACTTACTGGTTTTGACACTCACGAGAGTCTAAGATAGCAGGATGTGAGGGTTTTACCTGTCACAACAACAAACTAGTTTCTTGCATGTTGGTTGCACCACAATGACTTATTGAATTTAAGACAAAGATTGTTGTAAATAATATGTATTGTTTTAATTGTTAGCTCAGGATGGTTATACCACCATAACATCTTTGACAAATAAATAAATAGATATACCCATCTACATTTTCCAAATCTCTTGCTCTATGCAGGGTTGGAGGGATGCTGGAGCCTATCCTAGGGTAAGTAAATAAATGTCTACAATTCATTTTAATTTTAAAACATGTTAAATCACAAAAGAGTTAGACTGAAGTCACTGTATAATATATATACAGTGGGTACGGAAAGTATTATGCACCAAGAGCTTGTAACACTCCAAAGAGAAAGGAAAAATTGAAATCGCATCATATGACCCCTTTAAGAATCGATTTCGGTTCAACAAAATAAAGACTAATTAAAATCTATAGTGTCAACCCAGCCCTCATATACTAAATATTCCACATTTTTTTTAATCTGTCATTGGCTCTAACCACCAAAGGGATTTCTTCCATTTTTAAACAGGAAACCAAAA